TTGCATTGGGCATTGCATTTAAATGCACTGGAGAAGCATTTTTTCAACATGGAGTCAACATAATAAATGAGTGAAATGAAATTAAACAAGTGAAAACAAAGCGAATGAAAGTCTGAAACACAGACGTCGATTGTACTGCGAACTGGCTTCTTATAATTCTACCAAATGCATACAGAACTACAATGCAACACAAACGAAATTATTTTAACATGATTTTTATGGTAAATGGACTGATTCTTATATAGCGCTTTTCTACTCTTCTGAGCACTCAAAGCGCTTTACACAACTTGTGCATTAACCCATTCACACAAGCACATTTTTCCTAGGTGCTTTCTAACTGACATTCACACACTTTCATACTCCGATGAATGCATCGGAGAGCAATTTCGGGTTAGTATCTTGCCCAAGGATATTTGGCATGCAGACTAGGGGAAGCAGGAATCGAACCACCAACCTTCCGATCAGTAGATGACCTGCTCTACCACCTGAGCTACAGCCACCCGAGAAGCTACAGCCACCCGAGAATAATATAACAAATTAAATGACTAAAGCTCTGCTGTGCTTTTAGGTTAACCCATAATCTTTTCTGCAAAAGATGTATTATCCATCATAAATTTGATAGTGTATGTTGCAAGTGACCACCATATCTGGACGCTGCTGGTTGTCCAAATTTAGATCTCTGATGTTGTATCATTCAGTTTCTATTCATTTTTTATGTATTTAAATAATTACTCTATAAATAATTGGATGTATTCTTTCCTCTAACAATGAAATGTTTTATTTTTGTGCTACTAGGTGTAACACAAACCCAGACCAGGATCAGTTTCCTTCCAGTGAAATTCGTAGTTGCTCACCAAGTATTCCAGAGTCTGACAAATCTTTTTAAAAGGCTTTTTCAGTCAGATTTACCTGATTTGCAAATGGATCTCTTTGAAATTCTTTTTTTCCTGGATTCAACCTGAAAATGTTGCAGGATGATGGTTATTGAAAATGCCTTGCTCTTCGTTTTTTAGGATTTCATATTTTTTATTTTTCAGGATTAAGGCCAGGTGCTTAAAAGAGGGTTCGATTATCAGGACAGAGTTTGAGGAATCAGAGTATTTTGTAAAGTTTAGCACTTAGTTTGACATGACGGTTCCTAATGATTATTAAGCAGAGCCGCTTGATGATGATTTTTAGGTCTACTGATCTATTTAGAGAAACATATATTTTCAGTAGAGCAGGTTTCCATATGTTTCCTGGAGAAAAAAGAAGTTTTACTGGAGTTGCTTTATGGAAAAATGTCTTTTACTCTAATTTTAGCTTGCCGTCAACATTAGTTATTCTCCAGATAGCCTCAAAAACCCTTTTTATTTATTTATTTAATAAAGACCAAAAAAAAGATATTGATCTATTTACAGCAAAACAAAAGAAAATCTGTCAACCATTTCTGTACAGGACAAGTTATTGTTGTTCATTCTCACATCCTTGAGTGTGTGTGATGCCCAGTTATTTTCACCAGGAGCAATAATTTTGGTTTTTCTTTTGCTCTTAGTTAATTTATGGTTAATTTTTATGCCTTATAAAATTCTCCCACCACACAGAACAACTAACTGCATTGTTCCAGTTAGGCAGAGGGCTGCAGAGGCACTTAAATATAAAAATGACAAATACTGCAGAAAATACAACAAAGACATCTACTCTCCATTTCATTTCAGTTTCCATTTCAGCCTCTTCTGAGGTTTTCATTCCCAGCTGCTAATTACTCCTTGTAAAAGCTCTCTGCTTGTAATGACGAGCATCTCTCTCTCTGCTGTTATCTGTCCACATACAGCTGAGACATTTATCCACTTCATTCCTTAATCAGCTTCAGCCAAATCTATTAAATCAATCAAATCTTATCTGCAGAGACTCTCTGCTGTCCACTGTTTGCCTTTTGGGTAGCTAGTTTATGCTGATGAAGCCGTGCTGCAACCATCACGCTCCATATCTCTGCCCCTTCCAACCCAGAGCTTTTGTACGTTACAGCTCCTGTGGCACAAAGACTTGAGTCTGGGAAATAGTGAAGTAATGAGTGATTGAATGCACATTGCAAGGACTGAGGGCGTTAGAGCACTTAGCCTCAAACTACCTATCTTTGTCTGCAGAGGAAATCTGTGAGCTTGCCTCTAATGGATTGTTGGAGGTGGTGAAGGTGGAGCAGGGAGATGGATGAGAAGCAAAGGAAAGGAAAGGAAAGGACTGCAGTGACGGTAATGGAACGACAGACTGAAACGCAGAGAGAGAAATGAGCAAAATACAAGAGTCGGGCTAAATGCATTCTTTGAAGCGGTTAAAAGGGCAAAGGGAAATGCTCTGCCTCTCTGGGAAATTATTTTAACGATCCCGCGAGGCTGCGGAGATGATGATGAGGAAGACAAAGAGAGCATCCTTGACACAGATTATATTCACCATGCACAGTCTTATCAAAACACCTTAAACTTTTAATCGTGCTAATGGTGGCAGGTGGAAACATCACTTGGCTGTTCCTGCATTTGATCCAGAAAGGTAGTCATAGTTAGTTTGACTTGAAAGACTGTGATTAAGAAACTATAACCATAAAACATCATTATTAGACTCAGCTGTACTTTGTGTTTATTGACACTTACCATTGAGTTGGTGAACATATTTTCTGGTAAACAGCTTCAAGTAAGTGTTGTAACCCATGTTACATGGATACAGATAACTGTCAACGAATGAGCCTACTGAACACATTGGGAGCAAAAAACAATAAAAGAACTTCACTCTGTTCCATCAGTACTATAAAAAATCACAATGAGACATGAAATGTCCGGTGCTTGGACATCACCTCAAAAATAATCTGAAGGGAGAATACAGCTGCATACTGTTTTTTTAAATAACTGGAGCTCTGCTGCATAACAGATTGTCCTTTTGCAAATGAACAAAGAAGCAAACCTCATGCGATAAATACTCTGTTTAAAGGATCTGAAAACTACTGAGCTATTTCTAAGGTGAAGGCAAAAACCAAGGTCGCCTGATTCATGAGCTGTACATGCTCACACACGGTGTAACTGAGTGTTTTATCACAATGAAAGCTCCACAGCACACACTCTGACCTTAACCCACCTCCTCAGCAAGTTACAGGGAACATTTCACAGCCTGCCCCTCCCACCAGCTGAGCGCTAATTTGTCATCTGCAGGTTTGCTGCCACCACACAGCGCTGCAGGGCAATTAGGGCCACTGCATGAGTCTGCTGAGGAGCGACAGGAGCAGCTGCCCCTAGGCTCACAAACCCAGGAGAGAACCACAGAGTCTTTAAAGCCACGTTTCTTCTGAGTAATTTACTCAGAATTGGTCTCTTTAGACTCTTGTGCAAGAGAGGTACTAACTCGGGTTTTTACTGCAATATAACAATAAATAACTGCAATATATCTGTGATAGATTATAGTTTGTAATTGATGATGATGATGGATAAAATCAATATTTAATGACCCCATCTGCTTCCAAACAGGCCACTTACAGACCTTGTAGATTGTATTTGTATTTATGAACATATCGAGGACTGCAAGAAGACTATGTTCCAATGATTAACCTGAGCAGCCTGAGCAGTAAGACATATTCAGCTTGTGAGGCTTAAGAAAGGCACTAGGCTGGAAAACCAGGCTGCCAGCCAGACTGTCCTCTCACCAGTCCCTGAGAGGCAGATCGATACTCAGATGAAGTTTTCTCTCTGCTGGACAATCCATAATTTGTACACTCTCAGGTGGTCCTGTATTTACTATCGATCAGACAGAGGTAACAACAGCAATATCGATAGACCGGAGGGAGTGGCTTTCACATCTGAAAGGCAACTCCAGTGACAAATGTAAGTAAGAGTGAGTGTGTGGGAAACGTATCCAAGAATGTGGAGGAGGCAGATTAAAGACTTCCTTCAGTGGTTTAAGTTTTAATCTCTTTATGATATAAACCAAAAAATGTATTTGTAACACAGAAAATGCCAATGAATGAATCTGAATGAATCAATGTTTTCAGAAAAAAAAAATGTTTACTGCTCTGGGAACTTCTCAGCTTGCTTTAGTTTTTTAGATTTCTGAGAATTGATTGTATCTGACTGTAACCGTCACCGATAACACCGCTCTACTATTGCAAGTGTTAACCTTAGACTTTTAATGAAAAGCATGCAAGGTTCCGACCCTGTACTGGGATGTGTACCTAATTATTCGGTAATCAGAGGTTGTTAGCATTTTTGTTTGATAAATGATGTTAAATATTTGATTTGATTTCATTCAGATTTTTTTCTAATTGATCAATATTTTCATTTGTAAGTATAAAAAGGCCCAAAGTCTATCTCCTTCATAATAATAAAGTCTCAATTTTTTCACCACACGCTGTGCCCAGAAACTTTGAAAACTTTCGTTCAGTCTGAATTATGTTTAGTAGCAGAATGCGGAGGTACAGATAGAGATAACAGATGGCCACAGCAGATGGAAGAATGTGTCTTCCTCTGTCTCAGTGTTTCTTTGAAGCTCTTCCAGCTGGCTGTTCTTCTTCCGTCTTGTTTCCAACGGACCTTGAAGCTCCTGGGTGAACTTGTTCACCACCTAATCCTCAGAAATGCAAACACACAGTATTTTAATAGTTGACTAAAAAAAAAAGTGTTTTGTTTTTACTATATTTATTATGTTATCGTATTTATTATTATTACTGTATCTCTTATATTTCTATTGTTCAGCACTTTGGTCAGCCTTGTGTGTTTTTAAAGTGCTATGTAAATAAACTATGATGATGATGATGATGATGATAACCATGACAGAAGCAGGTGTCAGGTACATGTTATCTTTTGAATCGGTCTGCGTCATAGCAGCCACAAATGTATTATTAGACTTCTTCTTAAGTGAAATTATTGCTGCAACTTATTTTTCTTTTTCTTATTTGTTCGGTTTTGGAAACATTTAACATCTGGATTTAAAAAAATAATAACGATGAAGGAACTTACAGTATTTCTATGTTTTCTGTCCAGGGGCCACCAAAGACATGGGTAAGATGTTAGGCGGGGAGGAGGAGAAGGACCCGGATGCAGCCAAGAAGGAGGAGGAGCGACAGGAGGCGCTGAGGCAGCAGGAGGAGGAGAGGAAGGCAAAACACGCCCGCATGGAGGCAGAGAGGGAAAAAGTACGGCAGACCATCAGGGACAAGGTTAGTGTTGGGGTCGTTACACATTACTTGTTACTTTTCTCAAAAGTAATGCACAAGCTGGAGAAACTACTACACTACTGTATGCTACTTGAGCTGCAACACACAGAAATTACTTAGTTACCAGCTAACAATATAAACCTGAGGCTACAGTCCAGCACGCCAACACACCCGAGCCTAATGAGGACGCACATGCAATTTTTGTGTTAGAGTTTAAATGTGAACACAACAACACAAAGAAAAGTTCAAAGAGATGATTCCACTTTAGAAACACAGACTTGTTTGATACTTTTCTTTCTGTCACAGTCAGCTTCCGACTCCTTGGACAAAGGAGGAGGACCCGAACGCAGACACGCAAAATGAAAACTTGATTCTTAACCAAAAGTTAGCTGTTTATTGTGGCTGAAGTACGAAACAAAAGGCAAAACCAATTCAACGCTAAACAAAAACCTATACTGGAAAGACTGGAAAGAAAAGAAGAAATTTTGTATCGCTATGTGTTACTTTACTGCGTTCCTGAAAAACGTAATGTTATTACAGTAGCACATTACTTTGTAACACGTTACACCCCAGACTGGCACTGATGCTGCATGTCATTTTAGGTCTGATTACAGAGATGGGTCTCACTCGTCATTTAATGACCCTTTATTTTTTCCCTGCACATCACCGGTGTTCCTCCTTCGTCCAGTATGGGTTAAAAAAGAAGGAAGAGAAGGAGGCAGAGGAAAAAGCGGCCATGGAGCAAGCCTGCGAGGGATCGCTGACACGCCCGAAGAAAGCGATTCCGCGAGGCTGCGGAGATGATGATGAGGAAGACGAAGAGAGCATCCTTGACACCGTCCTCAAGTTTCTGCCTGGACCTCTACAGGACATGTTCAAGAAGTAAAACTAAAAAACACAAAACAAATCAAATGAACCCTAAAATCAGGGTCCGGTCAGGCATGGGTGAGGCTGCGGGGCAGAGGGAGGAAGGGTTCTTTGGGTTAACTGAAAAGAGATTGAGGAAATTATTTGTTGGGGTTTGAGTGTAGATTCGGGGCATGTTGAGGTTCTTGGGATCACAATGAATTTGGGGAAGGGTGGGGGGGGGTGTCCTCATCAAACTGTTAGAGGCTACACACTGCCTTTGTAGAGAACCTTTACTTTGCTTTTTCTACTCTTTGATGACAGTGTCATTCTTCCTCTTTTCTTTACTGCAGTAGTTGTAAAACTTTCACATTTCTTACACCTGAGTTGTTTTGCACTTGTTCACGCCCATTAAGAACAGACGGAGCATGGCCATCGTGGAGAACAGCATTGGACGACAGTGGATTCGTGTCTGCTTACTTTTGTGTTTAAATGGCACTTCCACCGCGTTTTCCAGTTGATGGAGCATGTTCTGTTTAAATCAATGGGTGTTTTCGACTTTTACAAACCTCGTGTAGACCTTTATAGTACAAGAAATCAACATTTGAGTTTTTAGGACACGTGCCTTCATATCATCTCCTCTAGCAAAGGAATTGTAAATGAGGGTTTCATTTTGAGTCAACGCTGTTGGTAGCATGTAGGCACTCGTTCAAAGATACAAGACTGGACAATTTTGGAATAACTTATTTGATATTAGGATTTCTAGTGGGCATATATGGTTGATGATGGTGCCAATGTTCAAAGCATCCCAACTGGAAATGCCAGAATAATTGCAAAACATTAAAATATGATTTGTAATTCCTTTTAAGATCAAAAGCTTCCAAAAAAAAAAAAAAAACGGTCTGCGAAAAATAGGATAAAAAAAATAGATCCCTTCTGCTTCCACCTCTAGTTTTACAAGAGCTTTTCTAATCTGGTCAGCTGATTAGACTGCCACTACGTTTTGACAGAAGAGAAACTTTACAGCTTAAACATTTTAAAAACTCATGTCAACGTGTGAATTTTCATTCATCATAAGCTAACAGACCAAGTTGTCATGATTTAGGTGGTGTGGGTGCCATAGACAATCAGAGCATTGACCAATGGGATACTGAGGGTTGCTGGTACATGCTTTCATCTCCACTAGCAACGGGTTGATTTGGTTACTAAGCACTTGATTAACTTATTGGTGTTTTTCACACTTTCATTAACGTGCTGAAATTGAAATTGACTTCACATCCCACCTGAGCTAACCTTTTCCTTCATCTTTTAATGTACAAATCTACCTTGACTGTCACTCATCGACATCCAGACCAAAGAAATGCTGGTAAGACCTTATTTCTTTCGTCATAAACAAAGACGTGCAGGTGTAACTTTTATTTGCAATCATACGTGCCAGGCCTGCAGAAGACACACAGCAAGCACGTTCAGCGCGTGCATGCATCCCAGGGACCGCCGCTAAGCTAAAACCGATGCTCTGTTTCTTCCTCAAAGGTATTCCATAATTAATAGGTAATGTTACCGTAGACTGAGCCTGGGATAACTGGTCTGTGAGTTGTTGTGTCTCACTGCCTAAAAAGCCTACTAATATTCTGCATCCTGCATCAGTTAATCCAACTAATATCATAGTGATTTGTCATGTTCAAATAGGTGTACTGTAGATGAAAACAAAATCTATTTACTATGTGGACATTAATCAATAAAACAAAGCATGTTGGTTATTCTTAAAAGACCCAATGATGTTTCAGTGGTTAGTGATGGAACAATGTACTGTCCGTACATTGTTCCAGGAGTCTGTGACTTAGAACAACTTTAGGGATTATTAGGACCATTGATAAAGTTGGCATAAACACCATAAAACACCTTTTTCAGTTTTTTTATTGTTATTATTTTTCTAGCTCAGATAGGAATTTTCACTAGACAAAGCCATACTGTTTAGATTGCAATAAAAATTATATAAAGAGAATATTTCAAGTTACATGTCTCATGTTTGTTTCCCGTAAAAAAAAGAAAAGAAAAGAAGCGAAAAAAGGGATAAATTTGTTTGTAAATCCTTACCATTCTTGTATCTTTAAACATGTAGACAAAGAAAATGTATTTAGAAAAAAAGCCATTGTTCTGTCTCAGTGTGCAACATGTGTACTGTAAGTGTGTGTGTTTATATGTGTGCGTCTTTCTATGTGTCTGTGATGTGAGATCATGTTGTTGATCCATATAGTCCTGGTTTATACCGTGTAAGTGTGTCTTTGAGCTATTTTTGTGCCATGTCTAAAAAGAAGAATACTTAACACATTCCTTTCAGATGTTGAGCATGCAATGTTTGGTAGAGAATACACCAAATTAACCCAAATATGAAAAAATAAACAACTCCCTGTTTCTGTAGGAGTCTCCAGGCAACAGAATCTGTGCATTGTATCCAGAGAGATTGAACTGGAGAGTGTTGGAGATTATTAGCTGTCAGTAAAGACGTGGTCAAAAAACACAAAAAATAGAAACTGTATTTTATTTTAAGAAAATGTACCACAGGGGCATTGAAACAACATTTATGTATAAAATAGGATTCTTTGAGTCTCCTATTTAAAAACTGCTCTAAAACTAAACTTTCACAGCCCATTACACAGCCATGCCATAACATGTTAAGTGGGATGAAGTTCAGAGTTTATTCCCAGCTGTTCATCGGCTGGACAGCTTTCCTGCAAATACACTGGATTTGTCAGATACGTGTGCGTGTTCTCCTCTTTGTCAGCCCGTAACTGGGGACGTGTTTAGGCATGCCAAAAATGCCACTGTCATATTACTACAAATCAAGCTTACAAGACAAATAAAAATATTTGTATTCAAATTGGCACGTGCATGTGTGGCATATCTTCTACTACTGTGGGTCATGCATTCAGCCGGTGTTTTCCAGAAAACGCAAAGTAGGGCAAATCATTTGCCTGGTTAAGTCATTTAAACTTGTGCCAGCAAGAGTGAAAAAAAAAAAATCTTTGACTTCAGCTTAAAGAAATCAGTCCTGAGATAAATTTAAGTGGACTTGCAATGACCTCAAAAAAAAATCTTGGACTGGGGATCATTCTAGAGGATGGTTGGTAGTGCAGTGGGCTTCAGTTAGGTGGCATGAGGAACATCATCTTGATAGTTTTGATTATGTACATTAAAAAATGATTCCCACATCACCCAAAGCCAGGCCATGTGCACCTCTGCGAGAACAGAGTAAGCCCCCACCATAGCGGGTAGAATTATGGACATGGCTTTGGTTACTGGCCCTTCATGGAAACTACAGCCATACATCCTCTGTATGTAAAATAGTCTCTCAGCGGGACTCGTTTCGAGGCATCACAGCATGTGAATTGCCTTTGAAAAGGGCTATTGCCATGTCATCTTTACGTCAGGTAAGCGGTAACTCATCTGTCGCACCTGTGCGTGTCCGTGCGTGATGTGCAGCTGTTTGAACTCATTCTGGTTGCATGATATACACTTGTTTGTGGAGCTGTTCAGTTTAACAAAATCCTTGGTTTCATAGATGAAAGTGTAAAAGCGAAGAGTTTTTTTTCTTTATTATACACAGAATAATCCAGATTTTTTTTTTTTTTTACAGGGAATACTTAAAAAGTTATGGTAAAATAGAAATAAATGTAGGTGAATGAGAGCAATGAAAATTATACATGAAAGGTCTCAGATGCTTTAAAAAGTCCATCAAGTCCTGGCTGATATTTCTCTGAAACATCTTAACTCAGAAAGATGGAACTGTTTTTATCGGAGACTGCGTCTGAAGACCTGGATAATCAAATTCTGTTGTCAGGAGCCCAGAAACATTAGATATACATAATAGGCTTGGAACTGCCATTCAAAACCACAGTCCACCACCCCTACACCCCCGGGTTTGGTGATTTCTCGTGACTATTAGAAAATGACAGCACAAAGAATCCATACCGGCAGAGTCCAAAAGACATGCCATAGATGTTTACATCCTAAATATAACTTTATTAAGTGTAATGAATGATAGAGATGGAGAGAATATCTTAGAATTAACCTAAACTTTATTGTTCAATCAACTCCGAGGCTGGACTTTGTGAAAGATGTCATAACATTTGTCTTGTTTGTAACATTTTCACATAAGCTTATGCATATGAACTGCCCTGCTGAATCCTGCCAGTGACTGTAGAAATGAAAGTGAATGTGCTGTACTTAATACTTAGTCACCGAGTTTACTTGTGACTGGTGAACTCTCATTAGCTGTAACTGTGAACAGAAATACATTCCTGACTTTTTTGGCATTTGCACTAGGATAAGTTGAAATGTTATACTGGCAACTGCTATGGCATCTACTTTCCATGACAGTTTACTTTACCTGCCTGCCAGCCTTCTGAATGCTACATTAGAAGGGCTCTAGTGATATTCGCCAGGTTATTGATTATGTGACCTTGTTCTGGTCACCACTCATGCTGTCTTTACTGTCTGAGAAGCAGACTCCATCTGGGGAGAGAATGGCGTGATGATCACCGGAAACTGCTGATAAGAAAATTTGTAAGGAAGTGGAAAAAAAAAAACGTTTTTAAAAAAATCTCCAAAAGTCTAAACAAGAGGGTCTTTATTTTTAATTCAGGTTGAATAATGACTCATTTCAGGGGGCAGAGGTTAAGAATGTAAAATATGAGTTCTTATGTTGTTGTTTTTTTTCTTTAATTGCATGTCATATACTCTTACGTGGAGCCCGATCACTGTAAAACTGTCATCTATGGAACGGAAACATCCTTTTTGGAAATTTAATGCATAAGACTAATAAAAACAAAGGTTTATTAAAAAAAACTTGTCTTTAGTCCTGTCTTGCTTGTGACCATTTCAGTAACTTATTAAATCTGTTGTTTTTTCATTTTGTTTTCTAATATTGATGACCATAAAGAACTGTGTGCAGTGACCATACAAATAAGACTGAGTAGAAATGCAGTGCATTGGGCTCGGCACCCACACACACACACACACATATATATATGCATATATATATATATATACATATATATATACACATTAACTAACATATCATACATATATATATACATACATACATACATATACATATATATACATACATACATACATACATATATATATATATATATATACACATATATATTACACATATATATTACACATATATATATACACATATATATAACAATATATACTATACATACATACATATAATAATACATAAATATATACATATAATACATACATACATATATATAATACATACATATACTATACACATATATATACGTACACACATATATACACAATATAGTACACACTACATATGTACACATACTATATACACAATATATAAAAAAAAAAAACCACCCAGCACGCCCCTGCGGGCGGTTTATCCTTCAAGCTCGGGTCCTCTACCAGAGGCCTGGGAGCTTGAGGGTCCTGCGCAGTATCTTAGCTGTTCCCAGGACTGCGCTCTTCTGGACAGAGATCTCCGATGTTATTCCCGGGATCTGCTGGAGCCACTCGCCTAGCTTGGGAGTCACCGCACCTAGTGCTCCGATTACCACGGGGACCACCGTTACCTTCACCCTCCACATCCTCTCGAGCTCTTCTCTGAGCCCTTGGTATTTCTCCAGCTTCTCGTGTTCCTTCTTCCTGATATTGCTGTCATTCGGAACCGCTACATCGATCACTACGGCCGTCTTCTTCTGTTTGTCTACCACCACTATGTCCGGTTGGTTAGCCACCACCATTTTGTCCGTCTGTATCTGGAAGTCCCACAGGATCTTAGCTCGGTCATTCTCCACCACCCTTGGGGGCATCTCCCATTTTGACCTCGGGACTTCCAGTTATACTCGGCACAGATGTTCCTGTACACTATGCCGGCCACTTGGTTATGGCGTTCCATGTATGCCTTGCCTGCTAGCATCTTGCACCCTGCTGTTATGTGCTGGATTGTCTCTGGGGCATCTTTACACAGCCTGCACCTGGGGTCTTGCCTGGTGTGATAGACCCCAGCCTCTATGGATCTTGTGCTCAGAGCTTGTTCTTGTGCTGCCATGATTAGTGCCTCTGTGCTGTCTTTCAGTCCAGCTTTGTCCAGCCACTGGTAGGATTTCTGGATATCAGCCACCTCCTCTATCTGCCGGTGGTACATACCGTGCAGGGGCCTGTCCTTCCATGATGGTTCCTCGTCTCCCTCCTCTTTCTTGGGTTTCTGCTGCCTGAGGTATTCACTGAGCACTCGGTCAGTTGGGGCCATCTTCCCAATGTATTCTTGGATGTTCGTTGTCTCATCCTGGACTGTGGTGCTGACACTCACCAGTCCCCGGCCCCCTTCCTTCCGCTTAGCGTACAGCCTCAGGGTGCTGGACTTGGGGTGAAACCCTCCATGCATGGTAAGGAGCTTTCTTGTCTTTATGTCAGTGGCTTCTATCTCCTCCTTTGGCCAGCCTATTACCCCAGCAGGGTACCTGATCACGGGCAGGGCGTACGTGTTGATGGCCCGGATCTTGTTCTTACCATTCAGCTGACTCCTCAGGACTTGCCTGACCCTCTGCAGGTACTTGGTGGTTGCAGCTTTTCTAGCGGCCTCTTCATGGTTCCCATTCGCCTGCGGGATCCCCAGGTACTTGTAACTGTCCTCTATGTCTGCAATGTTGCCTTCTGGTAGTTCAATCCCCTCAGTTCTGACTACCTTCCCTCT